AAGGCTCTCCGCTTCTTCCTGTCCCGCAGGCCCGACCACTCCCCCTCCAGTGACACCCTCATCTGCTCAGCTGAACTCGTCCTCACCCTTAACAACTTCTCCTTCAATTCCTCCCACTTCCTACAGCCAAAAGGGGTAGCCGTGGGTACCCGCATGGGCCTAAGCTATGCCTGCCTCTTTGTAGGATATGTGGAACAATCCCTCTTCCGAAGCGACACTGGCCCTATCCCCCACCTCTTCCTCCGTTACATCGATGACTGTATCGGCACCGCCTCGTGCTCCCTCGAGGAGCTCCAATAGTTCATCCACTTCACTAACACCTTCCACCCCAACCTTAAGTTCACCTGGACCATCTCTGATACCTCTCTGTCCTTCCTGGACCTCTCTGTTTCCATCTCCGGCAACCACCTGGAAACCGATATCCATTTCAAGCCCACCGACTCCCACAGCTACCTAGAATACACCTCCTCTCATCCCCTTTCCTGCAAAAATGCCATCCCCTATTCCTCATTCTTTCGCCTCCGCCACATCTGCTCCCAAGATGAGGTATTCCACTCCCGGACATCCCAAATGTCCTCGTTTTTCAAGGTCCGCAACTTCCCCTCCACAGTAGTCAAAAACGCCCTCAACCGCGGCTCTCGCATTTCCCACAACTCATCCCTCACACCCCGTCCCCGCGATAACAACTAAAACAGAATCCTCCTTGTCCTCACGTACCACCCCACCAACCTCTGGATCCTCCGGCACTTCCGCCATCTGCAATCTGACCCCACTACCAAAGACTTTTTTCCCTCCCAACCCTTATTTGCCTTCCGGAGGGATCGCTCTCTCCATGACTCCCTTGTCCGCTCCACACTCCCCACCAGCCCCACCACCCCCGGCACTTTTCCCTGCAACCGCAGGAAGTGCTACACCTGCCCCTACTCCTCCCCCCTCACCCCCATCCCAGGCCCCAAGAAAACCTTCCACATCAACAGATGTTCACCTGCACATCTGCTAATGTGGTATACTGTATCTGCTGTTTCCGATGTGGTCTCCTCTACATCGGGGAAACCAAGTGGAGACTTCTAGACCACTCTGTGGAACACCTACGCTCGGTTCGCGACAAACGACTGCACCTCCCAGTCGCGAACCTCCCCCTCCTTGGACGACATGTCCATCCTGGGCCTCCTCCAGTGCCACAATGATGCCACCCGAAGATTGCAGGAACAGCACCCTATATTTCGCTTGGGAACCCTGCAGCCCAATGGTATCAATGTGGACTTCACAAGCTTCAAAATCTCCCTGCCCCCGACCGCATCCCAACACCAGCCCAGCTCGTCCCCGCCTCCCTAACCTGTCCGTCCTTTCTCCCACCTATCCGCTCCTCCCACCTTAACCCCCACCCCCACCTCCTACCTACCAGCCTCATCCCTGCCTCCTTGACCTGTCCGTCCCTGGGCTGACCAACCCCCACCCTTACACCCCACCTACACTTACCTTTACTGGCTCCAGCCCCGCCGTCTCCTCTCCACCTACCTGCTCCTTTATCCACCTTCCATCCGCTTCCCCCCCCTCTCTTTATTTCAGAATCCCCTTCCCCTCCCCCATTTCTGAAGAAGGGTCTAGACCCGAAACGTCAGCTTTCCTGCTCCTCTGATGCTGCTTGGCCTGCTGTGTTCATTCAGCTCTACACCTTGTTATCTCCTCGTCTATCCAATCTCTCTTTCATAACTAAGACTCTCCAGCACATGTATCATCCTGGTAAATGCCCTAAAAGATCAGAAAGGCCAATGGAATGTTAGCCTTTATTTCAGGAGGATTTTTTGAGTGGATTCTTGCTTTAATTGCATAGGAGTTTGTTTGGACTGCATTTGGAGTACTGTGAGCAGTACTCAGCCCCTTCACCTCAGGAAAAAAATATTGCTGCCGTAGAGCAAGTCCAACAACTGAGACTATAGGTATGAGGTTGAAAAAGCACAGCAAGTCATTCAGCATCCAAGGAGCAGGAAAGTCAGTGTTTTGGCCCAGAAATAAGTAGAGAGGGGGTGGTGGGTTGGGAAGAAGGTTAGGAGAGATGGTGATAAGTGGATGCAGGTAGGAGGTTATTATGATTGGTCTGTGGGAAGGGTGGAGCGGATCGGTGAGTAGGAAGACGGACAGGTGAGGTTAGGTCAGGAGGGGGAGGGATTTTGAAGCTGGTGAAGTCCATGTTAAGGCCATTGGGCTGTAAGCTTCTAAGGTGAAATATCAGGTGTTGTTCCTCCAGTTTACATTCGTCCTCACTCTGACAGTGGAGGAGGCCAAGGATGGACATGTTATCAGGGGAGTGGGAGGGGGATTTAAAATGGATGGCAACCGAAAGGTTGGGTTTGTTGTTGCATACAGGGAACAGATACTCCGCGAACCAGTCCCTGAGTCTACGTTTGGTCTCCCCGATATACAGGAGCAACGGATACAATAAATTAGGTCGGACCAGGTGCAGGTGAATCTCTACCGGATCTGGAAGGATTGTTTGGGCCTTGGATGGAGGTGAGAGGGGAGATGTGGGGGCAGGTGTTGCGCCTCTTGCGGTTGAAGGGAAAGGTACCGGGTGTGGTAGAGAGGTTGGTGAGGAGTGTTGAGCTGACAAGAGAGTCATGGAATGAATGGTCCCTGTGGAAAGCAGATGGGGTGAAGAGGGAAGTATCTTTTCGGTGGTAGGATCTGATTGTAGGTGGCGGAAATGTCGAGAGAATGATGCATTGAATCAGGAGCTTGGTGGAGTGGTATGTGAGAACTAGGGCGACACAATCCTTTTGTTTGTGGGTGGAGGCAGTTTGAAGGCAGAAGTGTGGGAAATGGAGAAAATGCGATCCTGCTGCCCTTCTTGAACAAAGGAACCACATTAGCTATCCACCAGTCATCTGGTACTTCACCTGTGGCAAGCAAAGTATTAAATATCTCCACCAGGACCCAATCTCCTCCCATAGCAACCTGGGATACATCTTATCAGGTCCTGAGAATTTAGACACCTTTGTGCCTGCTAAAACATCTAATACTGCCACCTTATTAATCTTAACATGTTCTCCCCAGCTGCCATGTCTTTCTTCTTTACCAATACAGATCAGAAATATTAATTTAAGACTTCATTCACGTCCTCTGGCTCCACACACAGCTTGCCCCTTTGATATCTAATAGGTTCCCCTCTTTCCCTGATAATCATCCTACTCTTAATAAGATTATAAAAACTCCTGATTTTCCTTAATTCTATCAGCCAAAGATATTTCATGGCCCCTCGTCCCCCTCCTTAATTATTTTTTAAGCGGCCCCCTATACTCTCTGTCCTTTTGAAGGGCTTTCCCTGTTCCCTGGACTTGATGTGCTTGCCTTTTGCTCTTAGAGGAACATGATGGCCTGAATGCTCACTTTACATCTTATAAAAAAGAACTCCCATTTTCCAAATGTAGACATACCTTCTCCCTATGTTTGCCGGATTCTGTCTAATGATATTGAAATTGGCCTCCCCCCAAATTAGACACTTCCTGCACTATTCTTATCCCTGTCCATCATGACTTTGAAACTTAATTATGGTCACTATTCCCAAAATGCTCACCCACTAATACTTCAACCACTTGACTGGCTTTGTTCCCTAGGATTAGGTCCAGCAGTATGTCATCTCTAACAAGACTATCTACATACTTACACAAAATTTCTCTCCTGGCTAAACTTTAAAAATTCCATCCTGCCTAATCCTTTCACATTAAGGCAATCCCAGTTAATGTTAATAAAGTTAAAATTGCCCACAACTATAACCCTATTCCACTCGCACTTTTCCATGATTTGCCTGCCTTCCTCAGACTGTTGGAATGCTTATAGTATAATCCCAGCAAAATAACCAAATTTGTTTTTAACTTTTAAGATAACTTTTATACCCTAGAATGTGGAGCTGCCAGTCCTTCCCTTCCTTCCGCTATGTTTCAGTGTTTGCAACAATATCATATTCCCATGAGCTGATCAACACTCTTCAGTTGATCCAACCAGTCAAGCTCCTTGCATTAGAATACATTTTAGCTTTCTGAAGCTCCCATGTACCTCATTGACCATGTCTTTTCTGCCTACCGGACTGTCCCTGTATTCCATCTATATCTTGGTTTCACCATGCTACTGATTTTGCATTTACTCTGCCTCATACCCCCACCAAATTAATTTAGAGAGTGATGTCACTTAAATGCAAGGTGAGGAGAAATGATTTTACTTAGAGGGTTATGAACCTTTGGAATTCTCTATCACAGACAGTTTACAGATAGAAAGTAGAAGTTGAGGGACAGATTTCGGATGACCACTGGCACAGAGATTGAGGGATAGATTTTGGATTGTCCAGTGGCAGACAGGGTTATGGGTGTGGGGTGAGTAAAAGGAATTATGTGTTTGATCAGCCGTGGCCATGGTGAATGGCAGGGCAGGTTAGATGGATTGGGCCCTATGTAGTGGGCCAGCATTGATTGGCCTGGAGAAGGTGGGGAGCATGAGGAAGTAAGAACAGCTGACCAGAAGAGCAAATCACTTCAGGACTTAATATTGAGTTCAGCACCTTCAAAAGACTAGGCCCTTTACAGCCTCCTGGACTTCAAATTGTAAACCCTTCCCTTTCTTTTAGCTTGTAACATCCTGTGTTCATATGTCCTCTCTCCCCTCCGCCCCAACCCCACTGTTCTTGAAAGTTCTTTCCAGTCTGGCAGGAGACACACCATTGTTCTGCCATTCTCACTTTCCCATCACTTAATCTGAACTATCAACATCCTTTCTCCAGCAGCACCCTACACTCCCTCAAACTATAACATAAACGCTCTCCCCTCCACACTTCACTCCAGCTTTGGTGAAGAGCCCTCTAGACCGGAAGCATTCGCTTGCTGCCTCTCCATGGGTGACTCGCTGTGAAACCCAACGCTGGTTGTTTCCAGGAAAGCTAACGGGAAGTTGGTGGTGTCGGTGACGCATGCCCGGTGGGCGGGTGCGGGGCCTGGCGGAAGTGCGCCACTGGGAGATGACTGAAGCGGGGGTGGGAATCCAGCTCCGCGAGATGTAGGGGAGGGGAGGAGATTGGAGTTTGTCAACGTAGAGGCGGCGGTCTTGCTCCCTGTGGCCCCGTCCGTCAAATCGTGCGCCTTTTAAAGGACCAAGCAGCCGACGAGATGGCCTTGGCCTCCGTGCGGAGCGGGGCCGGCGGCAGTGACGGCAGGCCGCTGGCGTTGGGACCGCAGGACATCCCTCTGAGCGCCGTGAGTAATGTGGCTGCAGCCGCTGTGGAGCCTGATAGCTGGACGGAGGTTCACCCAGCATCGTGGGTGAGGGGCTGGGGTTGGGGAGGGTGTACCGTCCTGAGTGACAGGAGGGCACGCGGTTTGTTTTGGAGATGTTGTATTGCCTGCCTCTGTAGTCTGATCTCCGTCTCCATGCCCTGCTTATTAATTCTCTGTGTGTTATCTTAATTCACTCAGATGAGTCCCAAATTCCTGCACACCAACTCCACCAGTCACACTTGGCCTTTCAGTGCAGTGGCAGAACTGATAGGTGAGTGCTGTCAACTCTTTTTCTTGCCCTCCCCCCACCTCTCCTTTCTGAGTGTTAATCATTTTTATTATCAACTTTAAAATGAAGTCTTTTTTTAAAAAATGACGAAAGAACTGCGGATGCTGTAAATCAGAAACCAAGACGCAAATTGCTGGAAAAGCTCAGCACGTCTGGCAGCATCTGTAGAGAGAAATCAGAGTTAACGTTTCAAGTCCAGTGACCCTTCCTCAGAACTTAAGTTGCTGCCACATATGCTGCAATTTCAGGCAATTTTGTTTTTTTTTATCTTGACTCTTTTCTGAAGTTCTGTAATGCCTCTGAGAATCTGGATCTCTTCAAAATAAAGAACCTTATTCTTCATTCTGAACTTTTTTAGCTTTTATACATGTGATCTTGTATATGGAAATTTAAGTCATTGCAAAGCCAATGGTGCAGTAAGTCAACAATTGTTTAAAACAAAAACTGCAGTGACTATTTGAACCAGTTTGTGGTTAAGTATTGATAAGTTTTGGTTTATAAATGTCAGGTTGCAGAAGGAAGTAAATAGCTCATGCTACGCAAGTTGCCAAAGCTTATCTGAAAGAATATCTATTACAAAAATTCCTTGAAACTATACTGCATACTTTTTGAGTAGATTTCGCTACTCTCTCAGACCATGGCTTTCAGTTTCATTTTTGATCCACGCCTATTGATTCCGGTGTTTATGCTGAAATTTGTACTTTGAAACTTAAGGAATTTATTTGATGCAAAATCCTGTCTGACTCCTGATTTTTTTTAAAAATCATACTTCTGCAACTGCTTTTTACATTTTAAATTACATTTTAAATACTCAACGCCTAGCTATTTAGTAACTGAGACAACAAGGCATAGAGCTGGATGAACACAGCAGGCCAAGCAGCATCACAGGAGCAGGAAGGCTGACGTTTCGGGCCTAGACCCTTCTTCAGAAATGTAACTGAATTTGGATTGTATAATTAACCCCTTACAAATAGTCATTTGGTAGTACAGTACGAAACTTGAGTGTTTCTTGAAACCATATACACCTGAAACTTGTAATCTCTCAGTCAAATGTGACAAATGAAAAAGTCCCAAATTTTGCAGGGAACAGCAATATTTATTCCACAGTGTAAAGGTGCTCATTGATTGGCAAGTTGACACTGGGCAACACTGATGCATAAGGGAGTTATTGTCACTGTGCTTTTGTTTAGTACAGAAAAGGTGCAATGCCTGGACATGTTCATTTTGCCTGGAGAGGAGCAGGTCTCTGCTTGTCAATGCTCTCATGAGACTGGAGAAACAACCCCCACAGTGTTTTGTGCACCATGCAGTAGTTTTATCAAGATGTGCAAGTGCAGTTTTTAAGATGTATTTGCTGACGCTGTTTCCAGTATGAACACAGGATTGCAGAATTATTTTTTTCAATGATGTCCTGAATGTCATCTATTTGAAATCCATGTGGATTTGGATTAGGCCGAAGATTCAGGCTGGTGGGAGAGGATGGTTGTAGGTGAAGGTTGCACTGACCAGCCAAGCCTGGCAGAAAATATGTTGCTCCAAAGTGGAATTCTTGCAGAAGCCACTGAAGGTTTGAGATTTTAACACGGTGGTGGCAGAGGCATTTCCAGTGACTTTATTTTTTAAATCCCGAGCTTTTGTTGAAGGAGTGTTGATCACTTGGACAACAGAAACCACTTTTAAAAAATGTAGCCTCCGCAGTCAAGACCTGGCAATTTTCTGGCAACATTTTTGTAAATATTTCTGTACCCTTTAGAGCATTTGCATTCCTTCCTGTAAATATGGTGACCAGAATTGTATACACAATTCTAACTGTGGCCAATCCAGTGTTTACACAATTTCAGCATTACATTCCTGCTTTTGTGGTCATACCTTGTGTCCTGTAAAGGTGAATGTTCCATTTACTTTCTATACTGTCTTATCTACTTGCCCTGTCACCTTGAGAACCCTGTTGATATGGACCCCAATGTCTCTCACTTCCCTTGCCCCTTTCAGTATATTCCTTTTTATTGTGTTGTGTTTGCCCTCCAGAAAATCATTATCTCAGACTTCTATAAATTGAGTTCTGCTTGCCACTTTTACATTCACTTAGCGAACCAATCTGTAATCTACAGCCATTCTCTTCATTGTTAACTATATGGTCAAGTTTTGTCATATTGTATTTGTATGTGCCTCCATTGTGCAATAGTGGTGAAGTAAGTTTCCAATGAGCTTGACACGGTACAGTGCAGGCAGTTTGTCTGGATTGTGTTGAACTTCTTGAGTGGTTTGGAAGTGAATTCCTCTAGGCAAATGGAGATTACTTCATCATGCACTTCACTGTGCTTTATGGATGTTGGACAGACTTTGTAGAATTGAGATGTATTATTGGCTCTGAGCTACTCTTGTTACCACAATATTTATGTGGTTGGTTCACCTGTGCAATTCAACACTTTGGTCCGTACTTCTTTGAGGAGTGAATCAAATTAGCTGAGGGCTGTCAGCTTTGATGAGACTGCTTGCGTTAATGTGGCATCTTTCAAGTGATAAGTTGCCAGCATGCTGTCCTCTTCATAGGATGTGGTGACTTCCAGAATTATTGGCAGTCGGGACTGCAATGATAGAAAAGCTGTTGAATGTTATGGGGAGCAGGTTTTTGCAGGTAGTTGTAGACTGACTGTGTAGTGCGATTGTTATTTGCCACCTATTCAAAGTGGCCTCTGCTCATGTTGGTCTATCTACATACTGTGTCAGGAATCCTTCCTGAACGGACTGGACAAAATCCGCTCCATCTAAACTATTACAACTAAAAAGTTTCCAATCAATATTTGGAAAGTTGAAGTCACCCGTGACTACAACCCTGTGACTTCTGCACCTGTCCAGTATCTGCCTTCCAATCTGCTCCTCCACTTCTCTGCAACTATTAGGGGGTCTGTAACAAAGTGACTGCTCCTTTCTTGTTCCTGACCTCAACCCAAACTGACTCTGTAGACATATCACTCTCGAACTGCCTTTCAGTAGCTGCTATACTAGCCCTGACTAGCAATGCCACTCCCCTGGCTCTTTTACCACCCTCCCTATTTCTTTTAAAGCATCTAAATCCTGGAATTTCCAACAATCATTCCTGTCCCTGAGTTACCCAAGTTTCTGTAATGGCCACAACATGGTAGTTCCAAGTACTGACCCATGCTCCAAGTTCATCCGCCTTATTTCTGATGCTTCTAGCATTGAAGTATACACACTTCAAACCATCCCTGTGTCCACAATTACACTCCATCAACCGCATTTCTTTATTAACAACCTCACTCCCTGTTGTGTTTTTTGGAAGGCTGAATACCTCATCCTCTGAATTACAAACCTGGTTCCCCACCCCCTGCCAATCTAGTTTAAACCATCCCGTATAGCTCGAGCAAATGTCCCTCCCAGGATATTTGTGCCCTTCCGGTTCAGGTGCAACCCGTCCTTACTATACACGTCTCACCTTCCCCAGAATGTGCTCCAATTATCCACATAATGGAAGCCCTCCCTCCTACACCAACCCTGTAGCCACGTGTTTAGCTGCACTCTCTTCCTATTTCTTACCTCGTTATCACATGGCATTGGTAGTAATCCAGAGATAACTACCCTGTTCGTCCTGGACTTCAGCTTCCAATCTGACTCCCTGTACTCGTGTTTCACATTCTGTCTTTTTTCTACCTATGTCATTGGTCATTGGTACCGATGTGTACCATGACTGCTGGTTGCTCACCCTCCCCCTTAAGGATCTTGAAGACACGATCCGAGACGTCACGGACCCTGGCATCCAGGAGGCAACATCCGTTCGTCTCATTCGTATTCACTGAACCACCTGTCTGTGCCTCTAACTATTGAATCCCCCACTACAATTGATCTCCTATTCTCCCCCACTTCCCTTCTGAGCCACACAGCCAGACCCTGTACCAGAGACACGGTCCCTGTGACTTACCCCTGGCAGGTCGTTCCCCCCCCAACCCCCCAAACAGTATCCAAAACAGTACACTTATTGTTGAGGGATTCTATGATTCTCGGTTCACCTGTGCAATTCAACTCTTTGGTCCGTACTTCTTTGAGGAGTGAATCAAATTAGCTGAGGGCTGTCAGCTTTGATGAGACTGCTTACGTTAATGTGGCATCTTTCAAGTGATAAGTTGCCAGCATGCTGTCCTCTTCATAGGATGTGGTTTCTTTTAAAGTGCATTGTCTCTAAAATTAATTCAGCTAAATAGAAACAATTTTTATTCCATTGTTTGACTTTGTTTTCACTTCTCCAGATAATGCATATGATCCAGATGTAAATGCAAAGCAGATGTGGATTGATAAGACTGAAATAAAGGAAAAAATTTGCTTGATATTTGCCGACAACGGCCAGGGGATGAATCAAAGCAAGTTGCACAAAATGTTGAGGTACCTGTAATTTGTTGCTTTTCTTATAAATAATATAGAAGGAAAATCAGTGACATGTTCTCTGTTTTTGATCTTTGAAAGTTCTTTTCATGATTAAAATTATTCAGCAATTTGAATGGAAAATCTTTAGATTATGAGCAGTAGACTGCAGCTTGATATACTTGTGTCTTTTGTGGTTAACCTTTGCTTGAGATCATTGTTTGCTGGTGCATGCAACAACTTAAAGTAATAGGTAGCAACCTTACTTACACAATTACACACTCTAAGCAAGGCTATCTTCTGGGCTGTATACTATACAATTTTAGGGATTAACAGAAATACTGAAAATTACTGAGACTGAAACTAAAATTTCACTCATCTTGCAGTATGCTTACCTTTCTTGCTTAACTTCATCTAACCCTGCTAACATAGTAAGTTGTTTTGCATCTGTGAGTCAGATCCTTCATTTCTGGAAGTCCATGGGATTTCTAGGATACAATTTACTGCAAATGGAGTTGTAGAAATGGTGCATTATGCATTCTTAAAAAATTGATGCCTTTTAATCATTCCCTTTAGAAAGGAAGAAAGCACCTAGTAATGTAATCAATCCTTTTCTGAAAATAATGTCATCAGACCAATGTGTGTCAAAATAGTTATTTGATAAACAAATACTTTCGTAGGTTTTTATCTCGCACACATCAGGATGTATGCAAATTTAAAATGGAACAATAATTTATCCTAAATACATAAGAACACACAAATCCGGGTCCTCAGGCCATTCAGACCCTCAAATCCATTCTGCCCATGATGTCTTGTTGCAATCTCATCCAAATTCCTATTCCTGAGAAGCTTTCTAATTCTTGCCGAATAAGAATCTACCTACCTCTGCCTTAAAAATTTTCAAGCACTCTGCTTCCATTACCTTTTCCAGGGAAAGAGTTCCAAACACTCAACCCCCTCAGAGAGAAAAGTAAAATCGCCTAACCTTGGTTTTAAATGGGTGACTCCTGATCTAGAACTAGATTCTCCCATAACAGAAAATAACATCCTCTCCACATCTACCCTGTCAAAACCTTTTCGGAATTTTATATGTTTCAATCAAGTTACATCTTGGTCTTCTAAACACCAGTCGATGGATACAAACTTATGCTGTCCAATCCTTGCTTTTTGGTCAAAGAGCAAAGGGTTTAATTCCAGTAAACCATCTCTGCCTCCAATGCATTTACATCCTTCCTGAAATCAGGTGGCCAACACTATGCGCAGCACTCTGGAAGCAGTTTTACCAGTGCCATGTACAATTGAAGCATAACCTTGCTACGTTTGTATTCCATTCTCTTGGGATAAATGATTACATTCTGTTTTCTAATTACCTGGTGTGCCTGCACACTAACCTCTTGTAATTCACACACTAGGACACCCAGGTCTCTCTACAATTTGCAGCTCTGCAAACCTCACCCATTTAGATCATTTCTTTATTCTTTCTGTCAAAATGGACAATTTCAGAATTCATTGTTGGTGTGACACCAGGGATATAGACTGTACATCCCAATGACTGTGATTTGCATCAAACGATATGATGCTTTGTCCAGAGAAACAGGCAGTATACTGACCATATTCAACCAACCTGTGCCTGAAAGATGTAGAATGTAACAGCCAATATTAGATGTAATTCTGCGATTGAGTAGATTTGCAAATAATCCGAATGTGCCAAGAATTATTCTAACAACCAAATTAAGATTATCACTCATCATTTGAATCAAATAAAAAAAGTTTGACATAAATTTGTTTTGGCCTTGAACAGCTGCCAGGGAGAAAGTTGGAGTTGGTGGTTAGGGAGCTGTGATTGTCTTGAGGACTAAAGATAACAACTTCACTCTTCACAACTTTTAACTGGGGAACAGGCTGCTCATCATTACTGAATGCTGCAAAAGCATTCTGAGAACCTAGAGACACTGAGATAGTTTAGAGAGCTGGTGATAACTTGCAATGAAGGAGAATGGTGTAGTTATCTGTATTGATGAGTTGAAGGCAAGCCAAAAAGAAGGACGGATAGCTTGCCTTTGTCACAGTGACGTAGGGTGTCATTTTTGACTTCGATGAGTTTCACAAGGACGCAAATGTAGTTGAAGGGATCCAAATGTGGTGTTTCACAAGAACATGCAGTAGGAGCAGGAACTGGCCATAACATTATGGTGACCTCGCTCCACCATTCAGTATCAATATAACTGATCTTTTGCTTCAACTCCATTTTCCTGTATGATAATAGTACCTCTTGATTTTGTGAGAGACCAAATATTTGTCTGTTGGAGTCTTAAAGGTATTCAATAATTGATCATATTAGGGCTGCCCCAGTAAGGTCAGAGCAGTACAAATTGGCTGAAAGTGGTTCTCAGTTGAAATAAAATGGCTGAGGAAGATTTTTAGCTGTAACAGTAGCTCTGCTGTTTTGAAGTTAAACTATAAACTAGAGTAGTTTGCCTTCGTTGGAGGAGTACATACAAGGTAACTAGATTGTGATAACAGTGTCTTGTGAATTGTATACAATGAGCTTTATGGAACAGAAGCAGATAAGATCATAAGATACAGGAGTAGAATGGCCATTTAGCCCATTGAGTCTGCTCTGCCATTTGATCATGACTGATTTGATATATTTCTCAACCCAATTCTCCTGCCTTCTCCCCATAATCTTCGATCCCTTTACTAATGGAGAACCGCAGAATGCTCAATAACACATCCTCCGCAGCCTTCTGTGGCAATGAGTTCCACAGGTTCATCACCCTCTGGCTGAAGAAATTCCTCCTTATCTCCGTTCTAAAGGGTCACCCCTTCACTCTGAGGTTGTGAATCCTGTCCTTTCAAACCTGTACTGCAATGCTAAATGGTTTTGCTTGTATTTATTATTTTAAGATGTGAAAAGCAATGTACTATTTTAGCTTGAAAAGCATTAAATTCTTATTTTTTTATTTCTTGTTCCTTCCAGCTTTGGATTCAGTGATAAAGTTGCAGTAAATGGTCACGCACCTGTTGGGCTTTATGGCAACGGCTTCAAGTCTGGATCCATGCGGTTGGGAAAAGATGCAATTGTTTTTACAAAAAATGGGGAAACATGTAGTGTGGGCTTCTTGTCGCAGACTTATCTTGAAGCAATAAAAGCAGAAAATGTGATTGTACCGATTGTTTCATTCAACATGAACAATATCCTTTTTCTGTTGGAGATATTTGTTCTTGATTAGAAGACTTGCTGTTTCAGAGCTGCATTATCTGCCCTTTTTCTGCAGGTCTGTGCTCTGCAATTTTTAATGTAGTTGGTGAGTGGCATTATTGGTGTTTAATGTTTGTTGGGAGTTGTGATTTATGTACACTTCCCATCCCCATATGTTGTTTTGACTGGGCAAATTAACACTCGGCAAGCAAAGATATAAAGATTAATAAGAATGGTTTAAACTGTGCAAATGCATGCAACTACCCTTCTCGAAACCATTGTACCCATACACACACAAGCTCTGAGTCCAGGAACAGAATATTTTAAAAAATCTCTGCAAAATGTTACATTGTTTTTTTGGCCAAGTATCAGCTAAATGTAAAAAAAAAAAAAAATTCTTCCCAGATTGTCCAAATATTGAAATGTAGCCAAAGTTACTTCACACTCCACTTCTTTCTACTGAGTAGTCTTCGATTGCAGGCATGCCTATCTGAATTCTGTTCTTCTGGAAGCAATGGTGGTGAATTGTGCGTTCTGTTTTTAAGAACTCTCTGGCTGCAACAATTGAGACATCTCCCTTTAAGAACCCTCCACTCGTGGTGATCAAGTGTCTGATGGGTCTTGAACTCTCCAATTTTATTAGAAGGCTTTTGGAAAAAGAGGATAAAAACTGTTGCTTGAAGCAAGATCTTTCTTCATGTTCCAATCCAGTAGCTTTATACATTCGCAAATTGGGTCATTTGATCTTATACCGAAAAGCAGCTTGTATTCTTTGCAAATGCTTCCATTTTTTTTCCCTGCTGTGGCTAGAGTCCTGTGTTTTGCAATATGTTCTTGCCAAAAAAGAGTCAGGTATGTGTCCAGTCAATAATAATCCAAATTAATGTTTCAAATAATACATCTTCATATTCCAAAACTGCAGCTTCATCTATTGAGCTCGAATCATTGTTCCTCCTGTTTCAGGCTTTCTGTGCTTTTTGTGCATTGTAAGAAGATATTTTTATGTTCACAATATTCTTTGAAAAGATCTTCAAAGTTTGGCAAAACATGTTGGGAACCTGAGAAATGTTGATACGCTGCAAGAGTTACAAACTGCTATTTATTTGAAAGTATGGTTACATTCTTTAACACCAGTCTTACAAAAGCTTCTAAGCGAGGACATGCAGTCAAGTTTGAAAGCAATTTTGCAATATTCTTTATTTAACACGGAAAAAGAGCTCCTGGCAGAACTGGATGCTATTTCTGGAAAACGAGGGACAAGGATTATAGTTTGGAATATAAGAATGTAAGTTAAACTTTGTTAATTGGTACTTTGTAACAATTTCACTGGAAAGAAATGAACACAGTGGAAGACACAATAGATTGCACTCATCGATGGACTTTTTAAAACAGCTGTATTCTGGTCGCTGATACAATCATTGCATAATGAGACTTTACACACAGAAGGAGGCACTTTGGCTAACCACATTTGGACTGGCTCTCTGAAAGTGCTGTCTGTTCAGTCCCAGTTTCCTGTTCTTCCCTCTACCCTTATTTTAAAATAAGTTAAACTTTGATCCAGTTTCCCTTTCCTAGTTGGGCAGTTAGATTCCACTTCAACCACTCTTTTCTGGTCGATATTTGATGTCTTGACAATGTCTAGATAATAAATTGTAACTCTCCATTTATTTTATGATCTTAAACAGATACACTCAAGTTACTGACTCAGCGATCAATAGAAATTTGTTCCTTATTAAAATCCTCCTTAGTTTGATCACCTTTACTAGGAGGTCTGTTACCTTTTTATTCTGTGAATGACCAGTTATATAGCTCTAAGTACTTTCTGAGAGAGTTTTGTTAAATTTCAAAGACTTAAGGTACAGATTTTAATAGTGTTAATTTATTTCAAGAACCAAGGATGGAAAACCAGAGTTTGACTTTGAATCTGATAAGCATGACATCAGAATTCCCGGAGATCTTTTAGATGACGACACAGGAAAAAGAAAGTACAAAAGACAGGAACGGATGGATCAAATTGTGCCTGAAAGTGATTATTCTTTAAGAGTAAGTTAAAATGAAGTGTTGCCAGCAAGCTTAGTTGCTTATGTTGGTATTTTGGAAGGCCAGGCAGTTTGTGATTGAAATTTGATTGTCCAAATAAATAAAATTGAGTCACAACCAACTAGTTTTGTTTCTGATTTGAATTGTAGTAATTTGAATTTTCCTGACAAGTGTCAATGTGCAAAATATTTTAAAAACACATATGGCCTTGTGAAGAGAATAACTGCTTCTAAATAAGTATTGATTATTAAGGTGCATTGAGAAAAAGTCTATTCTGACGTTCTGTTCCATGCCATTGGTTTATTTAATCTGAGAATTTGAAATAAAATTTAATATTGGAATTAGCTTACTATAGATGATGTTCATGAGGATGATCACTGAATATTTAAAGAATATTTGAGATATTTTCCACTTCATACTTATAGGTTGTTGTATTTTTTTTTCAGGCCTATTGTAGTATTTTGTACCTGAAGCCACGGATGCAAATCATTCTTCTGGGAGTGAAAGTCAAAACTCAGCTCATTTCTAAAAGTCTCGCTCACATTGAACATGATATATACAAACCAATGTTTATTGTATCCTTTTTGTAGTAACTTTAAACAAAATAACATGGGAGATGAACTTGTAAATGATAAAATATATGCCACTTTATAAAGTGTACATTTTTCAAGGTGAAATATTGACAGTAATGGGAATTTTCAGTAGTACGTTTTGCAGTAAAACCTCAGCAGATATGTCGAAGAGATTAACTTAAGCATACGAGTTCAGACTTCGAGGCAAAGAGGCTCTATTCGTGATATCACAGGGAGCCGCTACTGACAAGTCGTCAGGTACGCAATCTCCGCAGATTGCAGAATTGGAGCGGTATTTATACATAGAGGAAACTTACGAAATAGTTATTGCATGCACGCAAGCACGTGCACATATTACCACACCTCCCCCCACCCCACCAAGGCAGGCTATCTGTCATGATCTCTCAAATTTTGGTTGCTGATTTGTTAACTTTAAGCAGCATGTGTCTTAAGTTTCTGGTCAACATTGCACAACGTGATCTAAGCTTTCTGTAGTCTTGTAACAATTTGTCACGTGTATTTTACTTGACCTATTTTCCCATCATTCTAACCTCTAATTCTGAGTTTTAGCCACATTCTACATCTAATCTCTCTTTACGCTTTAACTATTCTTCCACAATTCCCTCCTTTTTGCTCCTTGGATCACTATCAGTAGTCACTGTTATCAAATCTGGGGTCATACCCTAAGGGAAAGGGTTTCCTGTTGAGGCATTCCTGTTCATCATAATTGGGATCGCTGGTTACAGTACAGGGGAATAAAGGGACAGGGTTTTGAGGTCCACGGTGGGTGGGGGGTAGGAACAGAACAAATCAGACGTGTAGCGATAACACCGATAATAATAATAACCAGGATGGTGCTATAATGAGTTAGAGTACTCCACCAACTCCCGAATGGCCACCAACCAGAGCTCGGAGGATTTATAGTTGTGAAATTGTTCACCAACAGCTTTGATCTGGTTGACGGCTCGTTGGATGCGATCAGCCAAACGAGCGGTGTTTTCGGATTCATCTGGGATATAAATGCGTCACTCTTGGCCAGTGATGGCACATGTGCTGCCCTTCTCGGCCAGAATAAAGTCAAGGGCCAGGCGGATTCTGTAAGGCTACAGTGCGGGTTGCCACAGGTTCGGCAGATGAGCGGGAAATGGCTTGGTTAGTTTCCTCAAAAGCACAGGCAGTCTCATTGGCCAGTTTCTCTAAGGCAGATGCCATGTTAATTAATTTGCGTGCTGCTTTCCTGGTCCCATAAATAGGGAAGGTAATCATGAAGAACCACTCGGTTTCAGCGATAGCACGCTTGTTACGTCTGGTCCACGAGGGGTGCTTGTCTAGAGTGGGGAGATGACGCATGTGAGGAACGATCTAGGCCAAATAGCAAGATCCGGTCCCTGAGGGAGACAGCCAAGTGTAGGCCCTGAGGCCATTACCAAAATAGCTACTGTTATAAGGGATAAACTGAGTTATATAATCAAAAGTTCCTGCTGATGTGAGGTTAGTAAAATTAAGCTTGGATGGAGGCCAAGCCTCTGGCATTACATCAAAATATTGGGTGCAATTACTCTGACCTGCAAACCAACCCTTAAGCTTAGATCTAGTGAGGCAAATGGAATTTACCAGTTTTCCCACCCTTGATGTATTAGTGATGGCGACGTATGGTGGGATATGGGCGGTATTAAGTAGAGGTTGGTACCAACCTTTAAATGTTAAAAAGTTGTACCCTGCCGATTCCCACTTCTCTTGGGTGCCTGTAATGTCCACCCAATATATCCCCCTCTCTGCGGAAGATGTAGCAGCCGTGTGAACACCAGCCCTTAGGGATTCATTCTGTTGAATGACCCATTCTGCCACTTCGGAGACATTAAAGGGGATCAGTTGTAAGAGGATTTCCCCCTTTTGAGTGAATCGGGATGTGAGTGCACACCCAGCACAAGGAGACGTTTAGCCGTATTGCATATGCATAACTGAGGGATAAAAAGGAGTTCTGGGCTGGAGGGTGAGTGGACTTTTGCACTGATACCCATGCATCGGATCGAACTAGATTGCCCAGGAGTCAGACAAGAATCAATACAGCCACTGCATCTTCTTAGGTCTTCAGTCTTCCTGAGCAACCTTATCTTTCTTCAGCAGCTTGCACCGAGTAGCGTGAATCCAGACCTGATGTTGTTCTACTTTGATGGCAGTGCAGGTGACCAGTAGTACTTGATAGGGACCTTTCCACCTAGGAGACAAAGAATTCTTTTTGACTGCTTTGATATATACAAAATCACCAGGTTTAAATGGATGAGTATTCCCCTCCTTGGGCTTTGGCAGTGTTGCAAAGACTTTATCATGATTCAACTGGGCCACCTCACTTAGGGCCTGTGCATACTGTAAGGTTTACTCATCGACCCAAATTAATGCCACATCAGCCCCTGTCATTGGGGGCTTGGTGCCTGTGGTCATGGGTCTTCCCATTAAGACCTCAAACGGGGTTAGGCCTGTTGTTCTATTTACCTGATTCCTTAGGGTGTAAAGGGTAATAGGCAGCACTTCGGGCCATTTTAAATCAGTTTCCTGACAGACCTTTTCAAGGGTATTTTTTGGGGTACTATTGACTCGTTCTATTATTCCGTAGGATTGGAGTTGGTAAGGTACGTGCACCTTCCATTCAAATTCCATGGTCTGAGTCAGGGCTGTAACTATCTTTCCTGTAAAATGGTCCCTCTATCGGGTATTCCAAATCTAGGGATGATATCCTTCAGGCATTTTACCACTGTTCTAGCGTCATCTTTTCTGGTTGCAAAGGCTTCCACCCACTTGGAGAACATGTCCACTATCACTAGTATATATTTGAAACCTCCAGACGATGGCATATGCACAAAGTCTATTTGTAAATTTCCAAAGGGTCCAGCCGGTACCGGCAAGTGATCAAACTTCGGGTGTTTTTCCCCTCTTGTACTGTTGGCAAGTGGTACAAGTGTCAATTACTTGTTGAGGAGCGTTTGTTATACGGGGTGCAAACCATTGTTGTGTGACCTGATGCAACATCCTGCCATTTCCTACATGCCCTTGCCGATGCGCCAGGCAGGCAAGTGAATGGAGGAGACCGTTCGGGCAAACAATCCCTCCATCAGGGTGGTGCCACAAATTGTCGGGGTCCTGGGCACAGCCCTTTATAACCCAGGTATCTTTTTCCTTTTTTTTTAGGGGGGGTGCCCTGTTGAGCTTGTACTGCGAGAGTGAGGTCAATGGACTTAGGCAACAATTGGCGGAAAAAAGAGGACACCACAGTCACCCGGGACAAGGTGGCGTCTTTGGCTGCTTTATTAGCAGCGGCATTCTCGTGCAAAATATCATCTTGAAACTGAGTATGCGCATCACGCTTAATTGCGGCCAATCCACGGGCGAAGAAGGACGGTGCAAAGTAAATTACTAATCAAGGTGGCATGTTGACTGGGCTTACCAGAAGAGGTGATGAACCCACGGTGCTGCCATAGAGTGCCAAAATCGTGAACAACCCTGAAAGCGTACCGCGGGTCCGTATAAATGTTAGCAGTGCAACCCTCAGCAAGAATACAAGCACGGGTAAGGGCGAACAGTTCGGCGGCCTGGGCAGAAGTGCCGGGAGGTAGAGCAAATGCTTCCAGAACTGCAAAGGGAGTGACAATAGCATAACCTGCCAGAATGGCAGTGTTGTAAGGCCGGTAAGAGGAGCCATCAGTGAAGAGCACCAAATCGGGATTATCAAGGGGTGTTGACTGTAAGTCGGGGGGGGAGATGTGACAGAGTCGACAAGCTGCAGGCAGTCGTGTTCGATGTTGTCTACAGTAGTACTATCAGGGAGAAGGGTGGCAGGTTTAATGAGGGAGCTTGGTGGAAGGAGATATTTGGCTTAGACCGTAACATGACCTCGTACCCAGTGCAACGAGCGGCAGTCAAATGTTGAGTCGCTGCCAAATTTAGCAGCAGTAAAACTGCATGGTGGGCCAAAACGACACATCTGTGGTCTAAAAGCAATAGGATTGGATTTTTCTAAGATGACCACAGTGGCGGCAATAGCACGCAGACAACCGGGCATTCCTCTAACAACGGGAGGCAGCTGAACCGATTTAGTATGCTACCGGCCGCTTGAGTCCACCATGTTCGTGAGTCAGTATGCCACTTGCAAACCCTTTCTTTTCACTAACAAAGCGTGCAAAAGGCATTTGTTGTAATCTGGAATGCCCAGGGCAGGGGCTTCTGTCAGTGCAGTCTTAAGCTCAACCAAGGCTCTGCGACGTTCTGCAGTCCATTCAATTTCAGTGGAATGTCCCCGCAAGGTAGTCTGCCGAAGGACGGCGTCCATGCGTCAGTACTCAGGTATCCATTGTCTGCAATAATTAACCATACCAAGAAAGGATAACGTCTCTTTCTGCGTACTAGGCAAGGGGGCTTTCAGCACTGCCTCGATCCGTTCAGGTCCCAACCGACGTGTACTGTTCTCCAGAATAAAGCCTAAGTATCGTACAGAAGGCTGACAGAGCTGCAGTTTCGGGGCGGAGACATGGTGCCCTTTAATCGCCAAGTGAGAGAGTAAAGCAATTGTGTCTTTTTCACAGCTGACGTTGTTAATAGAGGCGATTAATAAGTCATCAGCATATTGTAAGGCTGAACTGTTACAGGGCAGAGAGAGTTCGCGAAGGTCAGCACGGACAGCGGTGGCGTAGACAGCCGGGCTCTCAGTACAGCCTGAGGAAGCTGGGTCCACGTATAAGTAAATGCAAAAAGGTCTTGGCTATCCTCATGCAGAGAAATAGAAAAGAAGGCTGAGCAGAGGTCAATCATTGTGTAGTAAGTCGAATTGTGGTTAAAGAGGACAAAATAACATTGGTGTCAGGGACCATGGGTGTTACAGGCACCACAATCTGATTGATGGCATGTAGGTCCTGGACGAAACACCACTTCCCTTTATGGGCGTGTTACAAGGACTCTGGGCTGGATGCAAAACACCTTGGGCCAAAAGCTCATCAATGACTGGCCTTATACCCTCCTCTGCTTCCGCAGGTAACCTATACTGTCGAATAGAGGGCAGAGGTGTACCGGAGCGAACAGTAACCCGATGGGTGAACAGGAAGAAACGAGCCCAACATGATTCTTGTGCAGAGCCCATAAACAGAAAGGGACAGACTGCAGAAGGAGAGGGAAGAACAAATCTACTGAGGAAGACGGCTGAAATCGGCAAAAGATAACAGGCCAGGACTCAGAAGTCAGCGTGATGCAACCTAAGTGGGCTGAAAGGTCATGAACCAAAACAGTTCCAAAAGGCGGAAGGGGAACCGTGATGGAACGCAGCGGATATTCCTCTCGCAGGCGCTTCAGCATGGGGCCAATCTGTGTAGGGTTCGCTGGGGCCTTAATAGCCACGGTGATATGAGGGACTGATGTGGGGCCCAGTTGAAACAGAGATCCTTGGGGGTGCGTCAGATCAATGGCGGCTCCCAAACCCAGAACACTGAAATAGATGTGACCGTCAAAACAGAGGGTATCAGGAGCATTAAGAAAAAGGGGTTGCCCGCTGAACATAGGAATTGGACTCTGTGTTTTGAAAATAGCGCCGTACAATGGGGGTTCTGGCAAGTAATCTGGTACTGAGCAAATGGCACAAGTAGCGTAAACATTCGTCGCTACTGTCAGTTAGGGCTGCACCGAGGCACACTAACATCTTCTCAAGGGGGTTATTTTGTAGGAGCCAACAGTATAGGTCAGGGGCACAGTTTGGGTCGTCAGATTCTTTGAGTAACATACTGTAGGCCAAAGAGACGGAATGTTCGGGAAGTTCGAGGAATAGTTTTTGCTGAGTGCAATGTATAGTAACTCCAAGCTTGCAGAGCGCTTGGTGACCCAATAGGCTGACAGGGGAATGTTTGGCAATTACAGAGGTCTCATTCACATTATGGTTTCCGATTTGGATAGGAATGGGATGGGATAAGGGCTCAACCGTCGGAATTCTGGCTGCTCCTATAGTGGAAATCTTTTTAGAACTACAAGGCAGGCCCACAAAGGGGGACACAGACGAGATCGTTGCGGCGGAATCAATCGGAAAGTTTACTTGTCTCCCTTCGATCTCAGTTTCAGCCATGGGGTCCTCATGGGGAGAGGAGGGCAATCTGATCATTGCAGCCTGTAAGGCTGCCCCTCCGTGGCACCCCAATTGTCCGTGAAGGAAAGGGTTATTAAAAGAAAAAGGGGTAGTGGGTATCTGATCGACAGCACGTGCCCCATCTCTCATTATGACAGTGCCAAGCCCAGTGGCCCTTCTGGCTGCATCGCCGGCAGACATCCTGTCCTTTATCCCTACCCTGCCACCACTGACCACAATTCTCATTTTGGAGTTTACTGTGTCTTTCCATGTGACCTCCGGGGTGGACCTGCTGGGCGAATTGGCCTTTAGGCTCACCAGATCGCTTGGTGAACAAACCCTGCCTGTCATTATAGGGGGGAGGATGGTCCCTAAGGGCAGCTGCCAAGAGAATATCAACCATAACCTGATCCTTGCTTTCTTCAGACTGTTCTAACTTTGGATACATTCCTGCGGCAGGAGTGCTAGGCTTAATATTCTTTCCATCACCAGTAGCCTTATTTTTTTTTAGGTTTCGGGGGTTGATGGCGCCCGGCCACTTCCAACCATTTGTCAAAACAAGTCATTGATCAAGGAGTCAATATGACACAAAATTAATTTCTTTTCTTTTGGGTTTGAGAAAGAATATTTGAAAATGTAGGTATTCATTTAATTTTCATTCCAAATACAGCTGTATTTACAATTTCCTTAATGCTGTTTAAGAACAAAAACATAAAAATAACCTTTGGCTTTAACTGGAGAAATAAAGAACATTTTGGAATAATGATGTACCATAAAAATAGACTGATTAAGTCTTACGAGAAAGTTGGCTATCAGCTCAGAGTAAGTGCATCTATAAATTATAAAATCAGTCATAGTTTAAAATTATAATTTGCATTTGTTGTCTGTATTTAAAGTAATAATAATGAGTCCATTCTACTGTTTCCTTCCAGGCAAACAACATGGGAGTTGGTGTTATTGGAATTATTGAGTGCGACTTTCTTAAGCCAACACATAATAAACAAGACTTTGATTATACGAATGAGTATAGGTAAAACTTCAATGTTGGGAAGCTATCTTATTTTCAGTACAGTATGCATATGGTTTTTTAAATTATAGCTATGTGACTTAAGCGTGCACTGACCTTAATTTCATTATACAATTTTATACTCTTTTTTTATGGAGGGAAAGAAGTTTACAATTTTCATACTGTTCTTTAATACCTCTTTAGAAATAAATGTATCATTAAATTGACTGCAATCACTTTAAAAAAAATGTTGATGTTCCTCTGGTAGCTTTGAGTTTTAATTTGATTTTTGGATGTGTGAGTTTATTTTTGTTGTGAATTGGTACTGTGCCAAGGCCAGTTTGCTCATTATTTCTAGTTTTACAAGAATAGAAGACAAGAAGGTAAAAGACGACAGCATAACATTATGACCCAGAATTGCATAGATGAGCTCTGTTGTGTTTTGTACAAGTACCTGACTGTTTTGAATAACACCATTTTAAAAAAAAAATAAGATCAGAGTTCCCTACGTTCTCCAGGCATCATGTGTTCTTGTAACCCTACTTTTAACTTCAACTACAAGCATCATTCTGCAATTCTCTTGATGAGATGGAATACCAAAGTACTGCTGTGCTTCTTTCCTCTCTCAAGACACACCATCTGGTGGCTGACTGAGAATATCTGACTATTAACAAAATAAAAGTTGTGTTTTAAGATATATTGTTATTCTTATTCTGATAAATTCACAATTAACTTCCCTACCAGCCATGGAGGAATCCTGAAAGTCATCCAGTGTGTACTGTTAGTCTTCACAGTAAAACTGTGTGAATAAATCATCTAACAGAGCACAGTAAACAGTATCAAAACTGTGTCAGTAATCTTAGAAGCACAGTGATCCTGAAGCATAGAGCTGGAGGAATACAGCAGGTCAGGCAGCGTCAGAGGAGTAGGAAAGTCGACGTTTCGGAGAAGTTCTGAAGAAGGGTCCCGACCCGAAACGTCGACTTTCCTGCTCCTCTGCTGCCTGACTAGCTGTGTTCCTCCAGCTCCACACTGTGTTGACTCTGACAGCAGCATCTGCAGTTCCTATCTCCGATCCCAGAAGTATAATCACTTAGATGGGTCTTCCTTGTTATTTTTCTGAAATATGCAATTTGTGCATTTGCAACCAAAACAAGAATGTGGCATAGGATATGTTTACAATACACTTTACACTGACACTGCAGCTACAAGGTTTATATGCCGTGAATCCAGAAAATTGTAAATATAGCTTTAATAGTATGAAGTGGAAAGTGCCATGGTGCTGACAGGTCCAGCAGAGTCAGTTTGGCCTTTGCATTTGAGTTTGATATTTGTTCAAACTAATTTTGGCTGTACACTGAATCTATACTTCTGGAGTGTGAATATGTTGTTCCACCACACAAGAAGACATGTTAAGATGTGTTTGATTTTTCCCTAAAAACAGAAAACATGCCTGAGTTATCTCTGTTCTAAACTGGTACATAATCATAAAGGTATTTAAAAAACTAGTGAGACAACTAAGAAGACGATTAAATGCTGAAGATTTTATCAGCCTTGGTGAAAAAGAACTAGAGAATTGAAATTTAAATCAGAACTTTTATTTAACCTATGTTGAGGTAGCTACTAAGCCATTTCCCATAACAAAAACAGGAAACGCAGGTGAGCCTCAGCAGGTCTGGCCGCATTTGTGGTCCGAAAGCAGAATTAACGTTGCAAATCTGATAGCCCTTTGGAAAAGTGGCGTTTATGCTGAAGATGAAATTTGGAGGGTGGGGGGCAAGAGGTGAGTGGATAAGTGGAGACAGAGCCCGGAGAGAAAGAAATATGAAAGGGGTAGGCAGACAAGATAGTAGGCTACAACAAAAAAGCAGCTGGATAAGTGATAACGAGAGCTGAGAGCAGGAGAGAATGGATAAACCATGTTGAAAGCCACCCAAGTCGTGGCAAGTCCAGGGTATGGAAAAGACTTGAATGCAAACAAATATTTCATTTCTTAGAATATACCTTTTACATGTTTTGTCCTAATTACAGACTGACGATTCAAGCACTAGGACTGAAGCTGAATGATTACTGGAATGAGAAGAAGAATAAAAGAAACCAAGAAGATCCTCAGAGTGTTGTACCGGTAGAAGATTCGCAGTAAGTATTTGTGCTACTTTAGCAAAAACATATCACTCATTCAAGTAGCATGTTTAACATGGCCTCATGTATTGTCACTGGACATTTAATCCACAGACCCAGGTGATGTCCTGGGGACCTGGGTTAGAATCCCACAACAGCAGGTGGTGGAATTGAACTCTATATTAAAAAAAAAGTCTGGAATTAAGAGTCTAACGATGACTATGAATCCATTGTCAATTGTTGGAAAAACCCATCATGGTCCACTAATGTCCTTTAGGGAAGGAAACTGCCATCCTTACCTAGTCTGGCCTAAATGTGACTCCAGATCACAGCAATGCTCTTTGGGCATTTGGAGATGGGTAATAAAGTCTCTGGCCTAGCCAGAGACTCCCATATTCTGTGAATGAATAATAAAAATGTAACTGACTCTTTCAATTCCCATGCAGCTTCCTAACCCTTTTGTGATGTGTGAACAATTCATGTTTGTATGCCAAGGTTTCAGTTACTTTGTTCAGTCTGGATGAGTGCAAATCTAAATTGCTGGGAGGTTTTTTCCTTTTAACGTTTAATTTCTGTGACATTGAAGACAATCGTTGTGGTTGGTTGGCTCGCCAAACTGGTTTGTTGTTCCGCAGATGTTTCATTACCCTGCTGGGTAACATTATCAGTGCGGCCTCCGATGAAGCGCCGGTGTGTTTTCCCGCCTGGTTTTTAAACTCTGATGTCAGTTGAGCTGGATTACCTCACTTCTGATTTTCTTTTGTAGTGGAGTATATATAGGGTCTAGCCCTATGTGTTTATTGATGGCCTTCTTAGTGGAGTATCAGGCTTCTAGGAATTCCCGTGCTTGTCTCTGCTTGACCTGTCCCAGGATCCTGGTGTTGTCCCAATCAAACTGGTGATTTTCCTTATCCATGTGGATGGAGATGAGTAAGTACTGGGCAGAGATTAGTCAGCAAGTCACCTCACTCAATCCACTCAGCCCAAGAGTTCCTCAATTCCCTCAGGACATAAACCAGTATTTCTCTTGCTAGTGGTATGTCAATCCATGTGATCAGGGCAGTAACGTAAAATGACACCATGGTTTTGTCGTCTATTCTTATGTCCTGAGGGAGTTGAGGAACTCTTGGGCTGAATGAATTGAGTGGGATGACTTGCTGATTAGTCTCCATTGTAACTCCTTGGCTAGTCTGTGTGATGGCATGCCTGGCAGGGAGACTATGGGTCTGAGGGGTACTTCCGGTTTGTGTACACTGGCAACATCACTAAAACAAGAACAAGACCCGAGTGACACCATCTCCACAGACAATATGCTGAAATTACTGGACCTATGCCTCACGACCCACTTTACCTTTTATGGCCAAATATATGAACAGGTCAACGGGGCACCCATGGGGGCCACCTATCTCTGGACTAATAGCTGAAGCAGTGATGCAGAGACTTGAAAGCATGGCACTTTCGCTAATCCAACCGAAACACGAACTAATAAACAACACTCTCACTGGGATCAAATTGACCAGGGAAGAGGAAAAGAATGAACAGCTCCCATTCCTGAACGTCATGTTAGAACGCAGGACCAACGGGGAATTCCTGACAAAAGTACACAGGAAAGCCACACACACTGACCAAGTACTGAATTTCAACAGCAACCACCCTAATACCCACAAACGAAGTTGCGTGAAAACTCTATTTAAACAGGCAACAACACACTGCAGCAACCTGGAACTACGCCAAAAAGAAGAAGAGTACCTCTTCCAAGTATTCAAAGACAACGGATACCCAAACAACTGGGTCAGACGATGCCTGTTACACAAACAACAACAGGAAGATACTGCATGCCCCAACACACTCCTCACGCTACCTACCATATATCAAGGACACATCTGAACTGACTGCAAGACTCCTACAGCCACTGGGCATCAGAGTAGCACACAAACCCACTTCAACCCTACGCCAACTGCTAACCTGAACCTAAGACCAGTTACCCACTATGGACAGAACCAACACCATATACAAGATTCCTTGCAAAGACTGCGACAAACGTTACATTGGACAGACAGGAAGAAAATTAGCCACAAAAGTACAGGAGCATCAACTAGCAACAAAAAGACACGGCCAATACTTACTCATCTCCATCCACATGGATAAGGAAAATCACCAGTTTGATTGGGACAACACCAGGATCCTGGGACAGGCCAAGCAGAGACAAGCACGGGAATTCCTAGAAGCCTGGCTCTCCACTAAGAAGGCCATCAATAAACACACAGAGGTAGACCCTAAATATAGTCCACTGCAAAGGAAAACCGAAGTGAGGTAATCCAGCTCAACAGACACCAGAGTTTATATACCAGACAGGAAAACACAACAGCGCTTCATCGGAGGCCGCACTGTTGATGTTACCCAGCATGGTAATGAAATGTCTGCGGAACAACCAACCAGCTCGGTGAGCCAACCAACCACAACCTGAGATACAAATCTACTCAAAAACCTTAGAAAAGGACATAATCTTGAATAGTTGGTTTCGCAGACTTAAAATAATTGGCCAAACGTTTAGAGGAAAATGTCAAAAAGTTTCAAAGTTATGAAGGTCTAAAACATGATTTGAAAAGGTGTTGAAATTAGATTTTCATAGGAATCTTTAAAAAGAAATTGAGTCTGTACATGAAGAGCACTAATGTGCAAGGTTGTGGAGAAAAGCTAGCTGTTGAGGTAAATTGAATAGCTCTTTCAGAGTACTGGTGCAGACTGAGTGGCTTCATTCTGTGCTAGATCATTCTATGAAGATAGTTCTGTCTTGCATGATACTGCAGAGTTCTGACTTGGGTCTGGAATCTGATTTCAGAAGTTGATCTTGTAAATGTAAAACTTTAATGAACATTTACTGTCAAAAAAAGTTGTACTTACGTCACACTTTATGAACGTTTTTGCATTTATAAATTTTTATTTCAACATTTAAAGCTGAAAAATTGTAAATTGGTTCCAATCAGCATACGATTAGTGGATTCAATCAAACATTCAGTGCTTTAACTTTTCCAGAAATTGTCTAAAGTGCTTTCTGAAATATTTTTGTTTGCTGTTTTCTTAGCTAAACTTTCTAAGGGCCACAATAAGGGTTTAAACAAAACAGCCAAGAAAAATGCAAACATCAATAGTAAAATTATCCACTGAAATATCTTTTAAGGACTCCCATGATTTATGACACATAAGCATCTTACACTTGGGTGCTGGAAATTAAGTATCTTGCTGTGAGTCAGTTCCACAAGAGATTTTATAGGTAAAGTTCAACACAGTTTTGTTTATGGTTTGCAATTTATTTCTGCCTTTGAATTCATAAGTTTATAGTTTTTTTCCAAGTGTAGAATGTACATTAACTTTTATTTTGCAGGAAGCTTCCTGATCAAGTTTGGGCTCAATGTGATGGCTGTTTAAAATGGCGAAAGCTTCAAGATGGGATTGATCCAGATATGCTGCCTGATAAGTGGTTCTGTAGCATGAATCCAGATCCATGTTTTAGGTAAGAACCATTCAGTATTAGTTTCATATATTTACTTTTTATCAAAATGATATTCCATTTCTCAATTTTACATGAGGGCCAATCCCAAAGCACCACGTCAAAAGAAGATTCGAAAAGGAGAGAACACTGGCTAACACTGAAATAATAATTAGGCAAGCTTGGGGATTAGAGGTCTGTAAGCTTCAGGTCATATTATCTCATTATTTTTAGACAACTATGCACTTCTTTCTTCATCAATTCTTTTGCCTTTTCAGTTGTTTATAATTTCCTTTATGTTCCCAGATGTATACATTTAATCTAGACCTGCTTTTTATTTCATACAAGGGACTGTCTGAAGTGTAGGTGTGCTGAGTTGATTTTTAAACCTGTTCCCTTGTTTTAGAAAAATACAAACAAGGAGCAGCATTAGAACATTCAGCTCTCAAACCTGCTCTGCCATTGGAGAAGATCGTGGCCAATCTGATTGTAACCTCAAATCCATATTCCCACTTGCCCCTAATAACCTTTCACCCACTTGCCTAACAAGAATCTATCCATCTCTGTCTTAAAATTGTTCAAAAACTGTCTTCCTGAAAAGGAAGTGGAAGCAGAATCCCAAAACAAACGCAGTGCTGGAGAAACTCATCTGGTCTGGCAGCATCTGTGGAGAGAGAAACCGAGTTAATGTTCTGAGTGTCTTCTTCAAAACTGACAGGGGTAGGAAATTGTTTTTATTTACTTTCAATAGGGGTGAAGGGAACAGATGATGTAGATGCCTAGTGCAGAAAACAAACGGATTGTTAAGGATGAAAGAGAAACAGAGATGGCAAATGGGTGTGAATTAAGGTGTGAAAGAGAGAATGGGTCCTGTCTGTTCAGAGCAAAGTCAAGAAGACGCAAATAAGACTATACTTGGGGGTGGGGGTCTGGGTGTGGGTGGTTGGTCGGGGGAGGGAATAAGTGTAGAAAAGTGGAGAATAGGCATGATGCAGTCTGGATCTGAAGTTGTAGAATTCAATATTCAGGCCTAGGTGCTGTGAAGTGCCTAAAGGGAAAATGAGGGTTGTTCCTCAAGCTTGTGTTATGCTTTTTTTGGAACATTGCAGCAGGCCCAAGGTTGCTGTCATGCTAACATTTCTGTAGCTGTCATGTCCATAACCCCAGCGAGACAGACTTTGTTCACAGTTTGGATGAAGACATGCACCAGCACTCTGCCTGTGTACGCGCATGAATTTCTGAAAAGACGTTTATAAACAAAATGGAAACAGAGAACATTTGGTGCCTCATTCAAGGCTGAACATGGGAATAATGAAGTATCAAACTTTTATGGAGGATGTGTACTATAATCACAGATCTTCCAAGTCCAGTTTATTTAATGATTTTGTGGCTTTAATTATTTATAAATAGAGTTTTTAAAAAAAACTTATGGCCAAAAGCTTGTGTGGCAAAAAGAAAAGTGGGTAATGGGTAAATTTGCTTGTGATAGCTACAAGTCTTTTCCCACATTCACTTCAGCTGAACTCTGCTTTGTGATCAGCGTTCAAGCTAAAACCTCATTTTTGGATGACTTTTCTCTCAAAGGTGTCTTTTGCACAAGTTACAATTCCTACAGAGATAGTAAGAACTGCTGATAACACAGCGTGGAGCTGGAGGAGCAAACGGCCAGGCAGCATCCGAGGAGCAGAAAAGTTGATGTTTCGGGTCAGGACCACATCCACTTTCCTGCTCCTCTGATGCTGCCTGGCCTGCTGTGCTCCTCCAGCTCCAAACTGTGTTACAATTCCTGCAGTTTTTGTGTGTGTGGATTTATAGAACAGCATAAAGTACCTCCGTTATCTGCAGACTGCTTCTTTTGGCAATTCTTTCGGCACTTCTTTCCTGACTCCTATTCTTAGAAAATTAGCATTTTGAAGAAAAGTGGTCACATTTGGAGAATGGTCTGCATTATGTGGGAGAGTTTTACTGCAGGTGCACAAATTCCATTCCGGAATTTTTTTTTTTAAAGCAATGTAGTTTGCATAATAAATACACCTTTTGAAAAAGACCTCGTGCTATAATGATGCTTTTCCCATATTTCAAATTTGGCTGTTTTTTTAAAGTTCGGAAATACGCAAGTATTTGAGAGATGATTAACAAATTATTAAGGAAAAAATATTTTTCTGTGTTTGTTTGAAATTAATTCACTGCAGAATATAGTGCAAGTGGATTAATTTAGGTGGAAGTTGTTTAAAGAATGCATAAGAGTGCAGTTTAAATGATTACATCCATGCTGTTTTTTTTTAGTTCAAATCAAACATGTAAAACCACAAATGTTGAATATGTTCCTGCAGGAAATGTGTAGTAATCCAGCATTTGAAAATTAAAGATAGAGCAATGCTTTACATGGAACCCCTTATCACGAAGGATGTCACAAGATGTTAATCTATTGCTTTCTAAGATGTTGTATGTTGCTGGTGTTTTCTGCCTTCATCTATCAACTTGCTTTTGATTGAATATTTGTTGTCTTGTTTAGGAGCTGCAGTGTTCCAGAAGAACCTGAAGATGCTATTGATGTTACTCCCAGTTATGAAAAAACATATAAAAAGCTGTAAGTTTTTCTCACTGATGGAAGGTTTTACATTATTGACCTGATATGTTAAATGCTGCTGCAGGTCTTTAACCTTACAGTCCTGTACGTGACTATCTTTTAGACCAAAATGCATTCTTAAATTTGTAACTAAATCGTGGACTTAAAAATATATTTCAAACATGGGCTTGACCAGGTTGATAAAGTGTAGTTTGTTTTTTTTCCACCCCTTATACTGTGTATTGGTGGGTTCAGTGGTGTTTCTGTGCAACTGTTGCTCCCATGTTTCCACCGGTGTTGTCAGTATAGTGGGTGATTAGAAGTCATAATGAAGTAACCTATAGGGCATATAAAGCACATACCCTGGTGAGAGTGGTAGTTCCCAGAATGGGGGTGGGGGGAAGGAAAGATTCATATACCCTTCCAATTGGTCATTTGGTAATAATGGTGTCTACATTTATGTTGTTTGGATTATTTCTACTGGATTACAGGGTTATGAGAATGGGGTGGGATGCTTCTTGGAGAGTTGGTGCAAACCCGATGAGCCAAATGGACTTTCTGTACACTGTAGGAATTCTGTGTTGCTATGGTTGAGGAAATTTGATGTTTTTTTTTAAAAAACATCCTCAAGGGTTTTAACATGGTAAAAAACAAAATATTATTTTCTTTGATTGGGAAAATTAACATGAAATTTTGACTCAGCAACAGTGACATATTTCCTGACTTGGAGCTGCCTTGCTGTTCCTTCACTGTTGCTGGGTCAAAATCCTGACACTCCTGACACTCCCTTTCTGACAGAGCAGTGGGCTTACCTATACTGAATAGACTGCAGTGGTTCAAAAGGCAGCTCACCATCATCTTCTCCAGGGAAATTGGTGATCGGCAATAAATACCAGTCCAGCCAACGAAGCCCACGTCCCCAAATGATTAATAAGAAATTATGATGGTGAAAGTGAAAACGATGTTGAAAGAAACTTCTTGACACACAGGATTGTTCCATTTATGGAAAACATCATGAGTAACACTGACCTTCCCGTTCACAAAGACTTGAAAAACCTGCCAAGAAGATGCTTAGAGTGATGATGGTCACTCTGGCAAAAGAATGGCTAGTATTTGAGTCACTGATTTGCACAAGACAGGGACAATGTGACACCCTGTTCCACAATTGAAAATAGCTACAGAGATAGTGGACTGGTAATAATCTTCTAGGAATCCTTAGATTATGGAAAAGTTCCAGACAATTAGAAAGCTTATTTATAAAGTGATTTGGGGACAAAAACAAGTAACTATAGGCCAGTCAACTTAATGTCTGTTATTGGAAAAATGTTAGTCTATTATAAAGAATGTAATAGCAGACCGTCTAGAAATAGAGGATGATCAAGCAGAGTCAGCATAACTTCATACAGGGGAAACCACAGCTAACAACTTGACTAGAGTTCTTTGAGGAGGTAGCAAGCAGGATAGATAATGGGTAGGCTGTGGATCTGATCCATTTGGATTTTCAGAAGCCATTTGATAAACTGCTGCGCTAAATAAGATGGAGGTTGTATGTTAGCATGGATAGGGGATTGGCTAACTAATGAAAGACATTGTAAGAGGCATTTTCAGGATGAACCTGATGGTGTGTCACAGGGAATAGTGCTCGGGCTACATTTATTTATTATATGTATAGATGACTTGGATAAGGAAAGTGAATGTACTACAGCCAAAGTAAGAAAGTTTTATTAAAACGATGCAAGGCACTAGTAAGACCACAGCTTGAATACTTTGAACGATTTGGAGCCCCTTTATCTAAGGAAAGATATATTGACATTGACAGCAGTCCAGAGAAAGTTCATTTGGCTGATACCAGCTATTAGAGGGACTGTCTTATGAGGAGAGGTTGAGTACATTGGGGCTATACTGGTTGGAATATGGAAAAATGAGAGGTGACCTCATTGTAACATTCAAGGTTCTTACAGGACTTGACAGGATGCATGTGTAAAGGTTGATTCCCCTTAGGGAGAGTCAAGGACCAGGGGCATAATCTCAGAATAAGAGGTTGCATGTTTAAGGTGGTGATTAAGAAGAATTTCTTTTCTGAGGGTAGTGAATCTGGAATTCTTTACTGTGGGGGCTGTTGAGGCTAGGTTACTAAGTATATGAAATGCGGATTTTTAATTAATAAGGCAATCAAGGGTTATAGGGAAAAGCAAGAAATGATCTCATTGAATGGTAGAGCAGACTTGATAGTCTGAATGGCCTGCTTCTGCTCTGACATCTTATGAAAGACAAACTACAGTATGATTCTAACCATAATCCCATTACATATGGCTGCCCTCTGCAAAATGTTGCAGGAGGCAGCTCATTTCCCTAATTGGTATCTCGAGAACATTGAATGGATAAACACACTAGACTACCATTACTACCAAAGTTTCCTGTCTTACAAAAGTTTATAATACTTTGCCACAGGTAATGGCTGACACCACTGTAATTTCTAAGGGAAGATTGGATAAATATTTGAGAAATCGGTTGATTATAAGGACTTGGAGAGAAGAGAAAGCTCGTATGAATTTTAGATTGATCAAGCCAATTAGATGTACCTCCAACTTCTAGAGTCATACAGCATGGAAACAGACCCACTGGTCTAACCAATCCATGCCAAACTTTTTGTTTGTAATTCTGTAGTTTTAATTCTTATTTAGAGCATAAGAAGACTAGGAATTTTTTTCATAAAGGATTGTTCAAATGTAGAATGCATGCAAAGTTAAACACTTCAACAGAGAAACTGAAGATATATATGTAAAAGCAGTAAAATGAAATGAGAATTGATCACCTCAGTGAGAGTGACAGCAGACTCAATGGGCCAAATAACATTTTTCTGTACTGAATTTCTAAAGTATGTGATTTCTGATTGCTGTCTACTTACCTCTGCTGGAAGTGTGTGTCTGTATGGGCAAGATTGAATTCCGTGTGATGGCTTCCCCTGTTTGATTAGCCTACTCAAACTTATTATCCAGGCAGGCCCGTGAAGAATTGCCATTTGGGTGAGGTATAAGAGAGCAGCTGTCTCATATGAACCAAACATTAATGTCAGGAAAGGTGACGGAGGACATTGTGAAAAGGTCCATTTCTGTATCAAAACAACTGATTTCCCTGGTTAAAATCCACAGAATAGTAAATCAGCTAAGTAATGTTGCAGCTGTTGTTTGACAACTGGGTCTCTAGGGATCTAGAATGCATTTAAATTGCACAATTCATGCTTATCTTGTGAGTACATATTTTGCAGGTAATAGGTTAGTTTTATAGGTTTTCTTTGTATCAATGTAACCTATTATGGGTTATTCCAGAGAACAAAGAAATCGTGAGAAAAACCGACAGCGATTAATGGATCAAGACAAACAGGCAAGCTAACTTATTATGTCACCATGTTATTAATGAGTCAATTTTTAGTTTCTGTTTGTCCAAACCAATGTTAAAGAATTAATGTAAAATTGCTGGTATAATGTCCTTCATTTGCCTAAAAGTTTCTACTTTCTACAATTGAATGCATGTATGCAAGAAACAAAAATAACAATTGTTTTGAAACTCAATAGGCCTGGCAGCATCAATAGAAAGAAAGATAGACAAACAACAGGAGACCTAGTACTGATACCTGTGGAACACCAACTGTCACAGGCCTCCAGTCTGCAACAAACCTCCACCAACACACCCTTTGTCTCCTACCGTCAAGCCAATTTTGTATCCAATTGACAAGCTCTCTCTGAATCACATGTGATCTAACTTTACTAACCAGTCTACCATGCAGAACCTTGTCAAAGGCTTTACTAAAGTCCATGTAGACACCACCTACCATTCTGCTGTCATCAATCGTTTTGCTTACATCTTCAAAAAAAACTCAAACAGAAAACTGGTGAAACTCAGCAGGTCTAGCAATATCTGTGGGAAGATAGCAGAGTTAACATTTAGAGTCTGGTGATTAGCTTGGATGAAGAGTCACTGGACCCTAACCCTAACGTTTAGAGTCTGGTGATTAGGTCAGATGAAGAGTCACTGGACTCGAAACATTAACTCTGCTATCTTCCCACAGATATTGCTAGACCAGCTGAATTTCGCCAGTGATTTTGGTTTGAGTTTTGTAAAAAGGAAGCAAAACGATTGATAAGAGCAGAATGGTAGATGGTGTTTACAAGGACTTTAGTAAAGCCTTTGACAAGGTTCTGCATGGTAGACTGGTTAGTAAAGTTAGATCACATGGGATTCAGAGAGAGCTTGTCAATTGGATACAAAATTGGCTTGACGGTAGGAGACAAAGCGTGGTGGTGGAGGTTTGTTGCAGACTGGAGACCTGTGCCAGTTGGTGTTCCACAGGTATCAGTACTGGGTCTCCTGTTGTTTGTCATTTACATAAATAATTTGGATGAGCATTTAGGAGGCATGGTTAGTAAGTTTGCACATGACACTACAATTTGAAGTTATAGTCAATAGTGAAGAAAATTATCTAAGATTACAAATAGACCTCGATCAATTATGCCAATAGGCTGAGGAGTAGCAGATGCAGTTTAATTTGGATAGATGCCAGATATTGCATTTTGGTAAAGCGAACAAGAGCAGGACTTGTACACTTAATGGTAGTGCCTTGGGTAATGTTGTAGAATAGAGACACCTAGAGGTTCAGATATATAGTTCTTTCAAAGTTCCATCACAGGTAGACAGGATGTTAAGAAGGCATTTAGCACGCTTGCCTTCATTGCTCAGACCGTTGAGTATAGGAGTTGGGCTGGCATGGTGGAATACTGTGTACAGTTCTGGTCACCCTACTATCGGAAGGATGTTATTAAATTGGAGAGGGTTCAGAAAAGTTTTATCAGGATGTTGCCAGGACTGGAGCGTTGGAGTTAGATTGGGTGGCTGGATGGGCTGGGACTTTTTTCACTGGAGCATAGGAAGTTGAGCGGTAACCTTAGAGGTTTATAAAATCAGGAAGGGCACAAACAAGGTGAATAGCAAAGGTCTTTTCCCTAGGAGTACAAAACCTAGTGGCATATTTTTAAGGTGAGAGGAGAAGGATGTAAAAGGGACCTGAGGCTCAACATTTTCTCTGAGGGCGGTTCATATGTGGAATGAACTGCCAGAGGAAGTGGTAGAGGTAAGTATCGTTACAACATTAAAAAGACATTTGGACAGGTACACACATAGGAAAGGTTAGAGGGATATGAGCCAAATGCAGGCAAGGAAGACTAGTTTAATTTTGAAAACATGGTCAGCATGAACATGTTGGACTGAAGGCTCTGTTTCCACGCTGTATGACTCTACCTCCAGCTTCTGCAGTTCTTAGAGTCATAGAGCTGTACAGCATGGAAACAGACCCTTTGTTCCAACTCATCTATGCTGACCAGATATCTAACTTAATCTAGCCCCATTTGCCAGCATTTGGCCCATATCCCTGTGAACCATTTTTATTCATGTACCCATCCAGACACCTTTTAAATGTTGTAATTGTACCAGCCTCCACCACTTCACCCTTTGCGTGGAAAAAATGCCCATTAGGTTCCTTTTAAATCTTTCCTCTCTTACCTTAAAGCTATGCCCTCTAGTTTTGGACTCCTCTGCACTGGAAAAAACACTTTGGCTATTCACTCTGTCCATGCCCCTCATAATTTTATAAAACTCTATAAAGTCATCTCCTCAGCCTCTGATACTACAGGGATAAAAGCCCCAGCCTATTCGGCCTCTCCCTATAGCTCAAACCTTCCAATCCCAGCAACATCCTTGTAAATCTTTTTGGTACCCTTTCAAGTTTCATAACACCTTTCCTATAGCCTGGAGACCAGAACTGAACTATTCCAAAAGTGGCCTAATCAATGTCCGCAACATGACCTCTCAACTCATATACTCGACGCATTGATCAACAAAGGCAAGTGTACCAACTGCCTTCTTCGTTACCCTGTCTACCTGTGACTCCACCTTCAAGGAACTATGAACCTGCGCCCCCAAGGTCTCTTTATTCAGCACACACTCCCCAAGAACCTGCCATTAAATGTATAAGTCCTATCCCGATTTGCCTTCGTGAAATGGAACACCTTACATTTATCTGAATTAAACTCCATTTGCCACTCCTCGACCCATCTGATCAGCGCCCCGTTGTACTCAAAGATAACCTTCTTCACTGTCCACTACACCACCAATTTTGGTGTCATTTGCAAACGTACTAACCTTTCTAAGCAGTAGACACCGATCCTTGTGGCACAGCACTGGTCACAGGCCTCCAGTCCGAAAAACAATCCTCCACCACCACCCTCTCTCCTACCTTCAAGCTGATTTAGTATCCAAGTGGCTAGCTCTCCTCAGATTCCACGTTATCTAATCTTGCTAACCAGCCTACCTTGTGGAACCTTGTCGAACTCTTTGTTCATAAAAATAATGTCCACTGCTCTACTTTCATACATCTTCTTTGTCACTTCTTCTAAAAATTCAAGTTACTGAGGCGCAACTTCCCACCCAAAAAGCCTTGTTGACTATCCCAAATCATCTTTGCCTTTCCAAATACATGTAAATAGTGTCCCTCAGAATTCCCTCTAACAACTTGCCCATCACTGACATCACGCTAACCGATCAGTAGTTCCCTGGCTTTTTCTTACAACCTTTCTTAAATAATGGCACCACATTAACCCCCCTCCAGTCTTCCGGCACCTCACCCATGGCTATCAATGATAAAAATATCTCAACATGGGGCCAGCAATCTCTTCCCTAGCTTCCCACACAATTCTGGGATACGCCTGATCAGGCCCCAGGAATTTATCCAACTTTATGCATTTTAAGACGCCCAGCACCACCATCCCTGTAATATGGACATTTTTCAAGATATCACAATTTATTTCTGCAAGTTTTCTAGCTTCCGTACCCTTCTTCACAGTAAATACTGACAAAATACTCATTTAGTATCTCACCCATCTTCTGCAGTTCCACACTTTGGGAGAGGCTATAGGGAGAGGCCGAATAGGCTGGGGCTTTTATCCCTGTAGCATTGGTGTCCTTGTTGATCTTTAAGGGGCCCTATTTTCTTCCTTAGTTACTCTTTTACCCTAGAAGAATTAGGGAGAGAATAGGGCCCCTTATTCTTTGTTTTATTGTATGTATGTGAGGATTTTTTGTGGTAGCATAGAAATTGATTATTCCTTTCTTTCTCCTTCAGATGCCCATTAGTATGAGTGGGGAATCGTGGGTTCAGAACTGAGTTTTATTAGTCTTTTTGTCTTGCTGAAAAAGTTTGCCTGGAATTGATGTTCTCCAAAATTTTTTTGACTTTAATTGCTATTGTGTCAGAGTGCCATAATTACAAAGCTGATTTTCAACAAGTGCAAAAATAATAAAATATTGACTTTGGTTTGTTGCTGAATTCTGATCTTGTTCTCTCAGCAGAAATATTTAGAAGAGCAGCTCAAAATAAAGGAGCAAGAACTTCAAGAGGAGAGAAGGAAACGACAGGTGATGTTTTAAGGGGCAGGAAGTTTTGGGATATTCTTCCTGAATGCTAAATAGAATGTTCTTAAAGACTTTTGAGGATTATCCATTATTTATATGACTAGTTTTATAATAGAGGTGTAGAGTTTGCAATCAGCAATCCAGGCACAGTTTTCACTTGGTTGTGCAAAATTTGTGAATTGAATTTGATTCTTAGGTTTTCAGTCACTTGTCAATACCTGTGAATTTGTAAATCTTCCATGAACCAGCACTATTATGCGGTGTTTTAGAATGCAAATCTTTTATTTTCATATTAAAAGTGATTCCTTGATATAGTTGAGTGAAAATGTAGTCAAAGTTTAGACAAGAAATTCTCAGGAACAAGAAACATTGGTCTTGGATACACTGTTCTTTTCCCTCAAACAGAATGTGAAATTTAATCATATTGAAGTCAGTGTTGCCTAGATGTACTTTTTACCATGAGGTCATTAATTCATTTACTAATATTTACAAATCATTTTTCATATTTAAAAGTTTTGCAATAGTGCTTATTAATGTACTTACACTTAAAGATAAAATGATTTACTTTTAGAACCCCATTGAAGAGCTGCAGATGGGCACAATTAGCCCCCAGAGGTTTGCCACATTGGTTTAGTCTCTGACCATAACCACTGTTATAGATGGGATCAGCTTTTAATGCGATAATTTAAATATCAAATTTGGTTTGGTCAAATGTGATTTGCGATTGAAATTCCTAGATTGTTTCTGTTGTTTAGTTGATTTCAAGTGAATTGTTCTGAAAAGTGAAGGCAACCTATAAGAAACTTCAAAGTGAAGTGTTTTAGATGTCACTACTACACACAGTTGTTAGTTTACAGTCAAGACTTCAATTTAGCAATTTTGGTCATGGTTGGATTTGTATTTTGGTTAAGGTGTGTATTAGTTAGTGTGATGTAATGATATTCTTGATGAAGTGTTCAAAATGAAGCCCATGAAACTATTAAACTCAGTAAAGGAAAAGATTATGTGAACAACAATGAGTTGGAAGGAGCTGAAACAAATTGAAATACAGAGACAAAAATTAAGGAGACTATTTGTCTGTTTGATTCACAGCAGAATATGGATCTACAGAACATCATACAGAAGTATAATAAGGAAGCTGATGCTCTTAGAAAGGAACAGGAATTATTGCAGCAAAAGCTACAAGCAAAGGTACTGTTATTAAATATTTAATATGCAATAAAGTATTAATTCTTGCCTAGTTACAGCTCTATAACCACCCCAACACATTGTTAAGGTATGAACTTTGAATTTGTTCTTACACCGTACATTTAAGGAACATTGCAGTAAAAAGAAATCCACACCCACATGTCACTTATCAACAGAATTCATTGAGAAGCATTTTAGGTATAGGAGCACTGGGTAATTCCCAGAATCCACAAGGCAAATTGTAGTAACCTTACTGCTAGTCTGGCTAGGATCTACTGACTCCAGGTATGTTGGAGTCTAACCACTTGCTTTCTGGTATAAATTGTTCAGTGGATATTGTCTAAATAATATCATATCAAACTTCCTGATTATTTTTCTGTAGTCATGAGTCTGTGACAGTGCATGAAATATTACCTTCAATGATTTTACCACAACCAGTAATGATCTTGAAGATCATCAGTTCTGAGGAAGGCTCACCGGCCTGAAACGTTAACTCTGTTTTTTCCTTCACAGATGCTGCCAGACCGGCTGAGCTTTTCCAGCAACTTTGTTTTTGTTCCTGATTCACAGCATCCGCAGTTCGTTCAGTTTTTATGATCTTCAAGATTTTGGCTTTTGTCCTCCGTTTCGGTAGCTCCCTTTTTTTTCAGTTTCCCTGCTCACCCCCTGTATTTTGTATAGGTTTAGTCAGCAGAGCTAATCTCTTTTAAGTCATTAATACTTAGTATTCATCCATATCACTCCTGTACTACTGTTAGCACGTCAATGGCCTTTTGCTTTTGCATATTTACCATGTGTTCCACTTGCTCCTTCAAGAACTTATTTCACGTCATAAAATCCATCACTTTTCCAGCCCCCTTAGGATCTAAAGAAGAGTCTGTAAGGTTTTGGAGTAGATTTGTGACTCGGGTTGTGGATGTTGAGGTTGGCTCGCTGAGCTGGTTCGTTGTTGTTCCGCAGATGTTTCGTTATCATGCTGGGTAACATCATACAGTGCAGCCTCCGATGAAGCCTTGGTGTGTTTTCCCGCCTGGTTTTTAAACTCTGGAGTCGTTGAGCTGGATTACCTCACTTCTGGTTTTCCTTCGCAATGGAATGTATATGGGGTCGAGTTCTGTGTGTTTGTTGATGGCTTACTTCGTGGAGTACCAGGCTTCTAGGAACTCCTGTGCCTGTCTCTGCTTTGCTTGTCCCAGGATCTTGGTGTTGTCCTAATCAAATTGCTGGTTCTCCTTATCCATGTGGATAGAGATGAGTGAGTATTGGTCATGCCTTTTTGTAACCAATTGGTGTTCGTGTACTCTTGTTGTTAATTTCCTTCCTGTTTGTCCGATGTAGTGTTTATCACAGTTTCTGCAGGGAAGCTTGTATATGACATTAGTCCTGTCCATAGTGGGTAGTGGATCTTTGGTTTGGGTGAGCAGTTGTCGTAGGGTTGATGTGGGTTTGTGTGCTACTCTGATGCGCAGTGGTCGTTGGAGTCTTGTGGTTAATTCTGATGTGTTCCTGATGTAAGTTAGCGTGATGAGTGTGTTAGGGCGTATAGTATCTTCCTGGTGTTGTTTGTGTAATAGGCATCTTCTGACCCAGTTTATTGGATATCCATTGTCCTTGAATACCTGGAAGAGGATTCTTCTTCTTCTCGGCGTAGTTCTGTGCTGCTGCAGTGTGTTGTTGCCCATTTAAATAATGTTCACACGCATCTTCGTTTGTGTGTGTTAGGATGGTTGCTGTTGAAGTTCAGTACTTGGTCAGTGTGTGTGGCTTTCCTGTGTAGTTTCGTTTGGAATTCCCCATTTGTCCTGCGCTCTACCACGACGTCCAGGAATGGGAGCTGTTTGTCCTTCTCCTCCTGTCTGGTGAATTTGATTCCAGTTAGGGTGTTGTTTATTAGTTTGTGTGTCTCTTCTAGTTTGATCCATTTAATGATGACAAAGGTATCATCCACATAACGTATCCATAGTTTTGGTTGGATTAGCGGAAGGGCCATACTTTCCAGTCTTTGCATCACCGCCTCGGCTATTAGTCCAGAGATAGGTGATCCCATGGGTGTCCTGTTGATCTGTTCGTATATTTGGCCGTTGAAAGTGAAGTTGGTGGTGAAGCATAGGTCCAGTAGCTTCAGCATGTTGTCTGTGGAGATGGTTTCACTGGGGTCTTGTTCTATTAGTGCTGTCATTGTTTCCTTTACTAGTGGTATATCTATTGATGTGAATAGGGCAGTGAAGTCAAACGATACCATGGTGTCATTGTCATCCAATGCATAGGTCCAGTAGCTTCAGCGTGTTGTCTGTGGAGATGGTTTCACTGGGGTCTTGTTCTATTAGTGCTGTCATTGTTTCCTTTACTAGTGGTATATCTATTGATGTGAATAGGGCAGTGAAGTCAAACGATACCATGGTGTCATTGTCATCTATCCTTATGTCTTTGATGGAATTGAGGAACTCTTGGGCTGAGTCGATTGAGTGGGGTGACTTGTTGACGAGGTGCCTCAGTCTCCTTTGTAGTTCCTTGGCTAATCTGTGTGATGGCGTGCCTGGGAGTCACATTGGGCTCAAAACATTAACAGAGTAACCAGTATGAATGCAAAGGTGGAGATCAAAATGGCAAATGTTCCTCAGCCAGAATGAATCTGTGCATGTGTGGCCAATATTGTTAAATTGCATGCATAATAACCCCACCACAGTTGTGCATGCAGATGGCCCTTCTGAGACCAATGTTATGAGAGTGGGGATAAAGGTTGGATAGTAGTGCCTGCTGTTCAGTTGGGCAACAGAATGTGAGGCTCGAGCTGAATTTGGTCTTGAGGATGGGTGAATGTTGACAGTATCAAGGACCTTCTCTCCTCCCTGCACCTTCTCCAAAATGAAAACAATACTTGCAGTTGCAAGGCACCTGCGTCTTGAGTTTCTGTGCTTGCGCACTCTTTGTGCTATCTCAAAGTGGCATCCCTGTAAAAAACTGCCAAGTGTTAATGCTGTTTCTCTCTCAACAGAAGCTGTCAGGCCTACTGAGTTTCTCCTGCACTTTCTGCTATTTCAGATTTCCAGCATCTGCAATGTTTTTCTTTCATTTGAGAATCTCTCGCAATTAATTTTCATGACCCCCTGAATTAATAGTATGGTGACTCTTTGCAGTTTCCTCTCCACAAGGTGACAGCGTTGTGGGTTTTACTTCTCCTCTCAGTGTACAAAGAAAGCCAAGCTAGCAACCAAATTCACAAGCTACCAAGCAAAGTAAATTCGTTCTCATTGAACAATGATTAGGGAACGACACTAGGACTTCCAAAACCTGAACTGACAAGATAAGAGATTTTTAAACTAGATTTGAGATGGTTAAAAGGTAGTAGTTTTCATGGTTACAAAGGACAATGACAAGCTAAGAGCTGATAGAATGTTTTCACTGATCAGTTTGACTGCAACTAGTGGGCTTAAATTTTTAAGACTTTTCTAGAAAGACAGAGGAAAAGTGCCTTTACAAAGAAAATGGATAATGTGTTGTTACAGAGTTCCTAAATTCGTTTGAATTAAATTTGGATAGTTCCTTGAAAAAGAGAAATGTTACAAGTGCTGAGCAGGATATTGGGCTTGGACTATGTAACCTGTGAAGAAAACACTGTTCCTAGTTTAATGAGTTGATTCTATGCATATTGATATTTATTTCCTTCATATATGTCCTTTAAATCTAAAATCTAAGTGTTGGAGAAACTTTGTGTCTGTCAGCATTTAAGGAGAGAGAAACAGAATTAATGTTTCAAGTCCACAGTGACTTCTCTTTGGAGCATCTAATCTGTTTTTGAATCTGTTCTCATGTGATTGTTTTATAGTGTTGACTTGTTGACCTTCAGGTATATAGGAATAGAAGGTGCTTTCAACATTGTCACTCTTAAATTGATTTTGTTTATCAAAGTGGTGGTGGAATTCAAGAACTAGGCAAATTTCACCTGGCTTAACTTGATTTTTTTCCCCTAAAGGGGTATTTTTGAATCCAAATAATTTATTCCAAGTTCTTTTCCTTGCCCATCAATGTAAAAGTCTATTTGCCTAAGCAGTAGTTATTGCCTGGAGTTAAATATTTAGTTCAGTTTTTATGATAATAAGAACACACAGTTTTCAATTACAGAACCTTAAGGCCATATTGCCGAGACAGATGGACCATCATGAAACCACAGAAGTAACTTCAAGTGCCCAGAATCTCACTAAGTGGGTGGTCAATGGAAACAATACATTGAACATATCACCCTGCCCAGCAACAGCTGCCACAGCCTCTCCTGTGAGTAACCTTCAAATTGTGGAAGTTAAGTCGCTATCAACACCACAAATACCATTTAATGGTCAAAGGTTAGTGATATTTTGCATGCTGTTCATGTAATCTCAGGACATTGTTTTAATAGGAATTCTCTGATCTCAGAAAAATTTCTTTGGAAACGTATGCATCAGAAATGTGTTTTAGTAAATTGTTCCTATAGGTTTATCAATTCCAACTGCAGCAGGCAGGACACCAGTTTCTGTAGCTCCTTGCCTAGTCCTCCAAATTCAAAGAGCACCATTTGCAACTCCTTAGATGCTGAAGTGGTCCATATCCAAATGCAGCATGATCTAGACAATATCTGGGCTTGGTATGACGAGTGGCAAGTCAAATTTATGCTATGAGTGTCAGGCAGTGGGCATGTACAACAAGAAGGAACCATTACCCCCTTGACACTCATTGGTATTCCATTGCTTAATCCCCACTGTCAACATCCTGGGGGTTACTGTTGACCAGAAACTAAACTGAACTAAATATATAAATACTGTGGATACAAGAGCAGTCCAGAGGCTAGCAATCCTGCAGCCTTAACTCCTCCTGACTCCACAGTGCCTGTCAGCCATCTATAAGGCACATGTCATGACGGAATACTTCCTAATTTTCTGGATGAGTGCAGCTCCAACATTGGTTAGCCAGGACAAACTAGTCAGCTTGATTTGCACCATATTCAGGAACATTTATTCCCCCCTCAGTAGCAGCAGTGTGTGCCATCAATGAGATTCACTGCAGAGATTCACCAAGGGTCCTTAGTCAGCACCGTACGAACCCATGATATCTACCATCTGGAAGGACAAGGGCAGCAGATGCATGGGAACGCCACCACCTGCAAGTTTCCCTCCAATACACTCACCATCCTGACTCTGAAATATATTGCCATTCCTTCAGTGTCGTTGGGCCAAAATCTTGGAGCTCGCTTCCTAATGGCATTGTAGGTCTAATTACAGGAAATAGATTGCAGCAGTTCAAGAAGGTAGCTCTCCACCATCCCACCATGTTCTCAATTAATGACAGGTGATCAGTCAAGACCATATCTCCTAAATTAATTATCAATAAAAGGCATTTCTAGGTTCTCTTAGTAAGGTTCTTGTACTGAAACAGTGTCTCTAACTGTCTGCAGTGAGTTTGATTCATAATGACCGCATCAGTCTAACAATTTCTTGATAGCAAGGTATTATTTTTGTGAAGCAGTGGTGTGAGGCAAATCATACAGCAACCTTGGTGAGCAAGAGATGGCACAACCGGATATGAATTCCAGAAATTGCCCTCTTTTTTTGTTTTGCAGTTATTAACAGTGTGTTTTATGAATTTGCCATTGTTATTCTAGCAAATTCTGAGTTGATGACATTTTGACAGGGACACATGCAGTTTGGCACAGATATAATTAAAGCATTCAGGTAGCAATCTCCAAAGGTTAAATCCAGAAACAGTTGCACTAGTGTGTAGTCAAAAACAAAAGTCAGTTTGCATAACCTCACTTTATTGTAACTAACATTATATTCCTGCATTGTATTACTGTGTTTGAAAACGAATCTTTAAATACAGGTATACTTCTGCGAATGAAATCACCTCTAATGGTTGTTGCGCTATCATCTTAGCCAGTGCTCTTCCCACTACTGCAATAGAAAACCTTGCATTGTTAAATAATTGAAAATAGTTTTCACCACATTGAGTACGTTTTTCAAAGAGGCCTCATTTTCATGGAGTCCAATTCAAGTGTAGGATGACAACTCTTCTGAGTTATGGTATGACGTCTTTCTGAATTTCACATTACATGTGCATGCATGTTTTTTTACATTTTTCCATAAAAACGTTTGAACTTTGTCGGTTCAAAATAAAATTGTTCAGTTGCATTTTTTTGAAAGCCTGTCAAGGTCAAAAAACTTCGCAACTTGAAACCTTTCAAAATTGAATTTTTCATCAGTCACTATATTTGTTGGTGTCATGTGTTCCATTACGACTAGGTCATTTTGTAATTGTGCAGGTTTGAGCTTTTTAGTATGCAGAGGCATGAAATCTCTTGAAAAAAAAACATGCCAGTTTAGCTACCTGCCTTTTAAAGGTTTATATCTACATTTTCTTACTAGTCAAGCGGAGGCTAAGGAGGATTCCAAAGAGAATTATCCCATAGTGTCATATGGCTGCATCAACTATATTCTTTCTTGATCTTGATATCTAGTCTAGACAATGCCAATAGTCTTTTGGCTGACAGCCCTTCATCCATCGGTCATGAACTTGAGATTGTCCACATCTTTATTACCTGCAGGAAATCCTACTCACCCATTGCTCTGTGTCCTTGGCTCCCTTTTTAAAAAAAAAAGTTCACATCCTGCAGTTCAATTTTACTTACTGTCCTGGAATCTCCCCCAGCTCTATGACCCTTTGATTTCTGAGCTCCTCCAATACTGGCTTATTATGCATTCCCCTATCACTACAGGCCATCACTGTTGAGCAGATCCTTCAGACGTACTGGCCTGTCACTGACATTTTCACCTTAACCTCTCTGCCTCTCCATCTTTCCAACTTGAATACTCTCATTAAAACCTGTACTTTTAAGTGGCTTTTGGTTTTGCCACCTCTTCCCTCTCTTATTGTCCCTCTCATCTACTGTAGGTTTCAGTTAGTGATTTTGATAGAGATCAGGATCTTTTTGTTAAAATGGACAAAACTACAAATCCCAGTTACTTGTGAATAAAGCCACAACATTCTGTGATTTGTGACAGAAGAAATGTTACTGTACAACAGTCAACAAATCAAACACTGAAGCCAGTTCCTCTGTACTTTAACATCAAGAAAAAAACATGAATTAACAGCAAAATTGTGGATGCCTATAAAATATGAATTGTATCTCAAATGGTAAATACAGCTAATTTGGTCTTAAGAATTGGTTTAGCAGTCCATTTTCTTTTTGGTTATTGCATTAAGTCACAAAGTCCCTCAAACTCCTTCCTCACAGGAATTTCATCTCCTCCCCCATAAAAATTTACCTTCTGATTCCCATTCAGTGGCAACTCCAGTTTAGTCTGGTGGCTTTCTTGCTTCTTCTACCTCCAAGTAGCTACCAGGCAATCAAAGGCTCAAACTTA